TTTCCCTTGGATCAAACCCTTGTTTCATGTGGGTGGCAAAGATCTGGAGGGTTTTCCTCATCCAGGGCTGGCTTCTGGTAGAGAATTGTTGGCACACATCCGCTGTCCTCAAAGCGTTCCATAGAAGCCACGTAAGGAGGTCAGTCCCGAGTACCTCACCTTTTGTTCTGTTGAATTTCATCCTGCTTTTGCCACTCAAGTTCTCAAGAGCAGCTTTGTGTCGCAGCCATTATCCTGTTTTCTATGCCAAGACCTTTCTTAAACACGTACTTTGTCCATTCTGGAGGACACCAGCAGCAACCCAACCTGGTATTTTTGTCTTATTACATCCTCCGGAGCCAGTTTCCTGCCCATCTTGCAATTCTTCATTCCCTTCTCTTTCTTGGGTTCATCAAAGGTGAAGTAGATCTTGGCTGGCTGTTATCTAGAAAATACATTTTATATAAGGGCTGGTCTGGCTTTTCCTCCTCTGTGTACTGTTGGATTTCTGGTCAAGGAAGTCAGCTTTGAGAACAAGAGTTACAGAAACAAGATAATTATGGGCTCGAAAACCTCTCTGACACTAAACATACCTTAAAGTCTTCAATGCTTTCAGACCGCTCAGCAAGACGGAGTGATTCATTACTTCGCTATTAGCGGCACTAGAGCCTCACATGAATAACACCGGCTTGCACGGGCAGCGGCTGAGGGTTACAGAAGACGTGAGCCGGATGCGTGGGTTGTCCCGTGGCGAGTTATCCACAGCAGTGCCAAACAAGGCTGGGAGGGATTGGGGCCGGGGGGGGGACACATCCTCCCACCTGACCCTTACTGCAGTTACAGTTAATCTACGCTCTCTTCAAACCTCTGGCAAGGAGGATTTAACAACTTCCCTAGGCAATTTATTCCAGGAGGAATATATTGATTTATTGCATTACTCTGTTTTATTACTCCAGGGTAGTAGAGGGGGGGGGGATGGGGGAAGCTCTAATATTAATCTGAATCTTTCTCACTGTATGAAGGTTTGCCATGTTCACAACTTGGCAGGACAGCAGCTTGTTCCCTTCTCTTCAGATGCAAAAGGTTGCCGTGGACTTCACCACCTTGGTAATTGCTGCCGTAGTGCACTGCCTTGCCCTTTGCTTTTGTCCTCAGTTGAATTTCCTTGTGCTGTCTATTCCGGCTGATTTCTTTGGTTTGACTCCAAACGTTTTCAGCCTGTTCTCAAATACTTCCACAACTTGAAACGGCTTGGTGGAGTCAGTAAATGTAATCAAGATGCTGCTTTCTTCCATCATCCGGGCTGATAATGAAATCATCAAGCAGAGCCCACTTAGTTCTTACTCTGGTTTTGAACTCCTGAGACTGAATGCGGGTAGTGGTTTTACTCTGTATTGCACCTCCCACATAATAGTTTCATCCAGCTGATAGTTCTTTACACAAGTGTTGAATTAGGCCATGTCAAAAGCTGAGCTAAAATTGAGATGTCTTCTGCTGTGCTTTGCCCGTGGCCCCTTTCTTCTATGGTAGGAGAAATTCAAACCAGCTAGGCATGACTTGCTCTTGACAAATTTATGCTGGTCACTGCTTATCTTGTTTTCTAGCAGCTTACAGGCAGTTTGCAAGGTGATTTCCTCTTGTTTTTCCAAAAGTCAGGCAGTTAAACTCTTGAGGCTAAAATCTTCTCTTTAGTATTTCCTTTTCCCCTCCTTTATTTAAAGATAGAGACTCGTCGTGCCCTTTTCTGGTAATCTGGACCTCCGCAGATGTCGGGGCCGGGGAGGGGAGCTGTTAGCAGCTTGTCTGCCACTCCTGGCAGTAACCCAGGACAGATCCTGCCTGCTTAAAAACCTTGGCTTCTAGGAATAATCTGACTTTTTCTTCCCAATAATAATCCAAGATTTTTCTTGCAGCTGCTATTAGCTCAGAGCAAGCCTCTGCTTCTCGGCATCGGCATTCAGCCATAAAACACTGTTGTTCTGGGTGTCTTCTGAGAGCTGTCCTTGAGTAGCGAGTCCTTTAGTCTCTCTTACTAAAACCTGACTTATTACCTTGATCTCTCTTGTTTCACTTGGAGCTTTGGCCTTTCTGGCACTTGTTTTGTTTTTTTTCTTTGTTTTATTTTTGTACCTGTGTGCTTGTGTTGTCTCCTGCGTGATTTCTTCAGCAATCTGACCCGTGCTCCACTTCCTCCGTGCTCACATGGATTGTGGGCGCGAGAAGAGTTTGGGGCTTAGCCAGGGTTGTCTCACACCGCGCTGCTTGTCTTTACCGCTCTAGCCAGGTAGTTTGCATTTGCTCAGTTTAAAGTTGTTTCTCCTTCAGTCCCGTTGTCTGCATTTTTTTTTTTTCTTCTTTTCCTTCTTCCCTCTAAAGAGTTGTGTTCCCTGCGATCAGTAATCCATCTTCCCCAAAAATCAGGGTTCTTCCTTTCTCCCAGAGATTTCTTTTCAGGTCAGAAAACATCCAAAGTTTCTTCCCTGCTTTCCTAAGCAGATACCTAGATGGTAATCACGTGGAAATGACCCATCCCGTGTTTCAGATGATCCTGTTCACCGAGTCTTCAGCCGCTTCGCCTTGAGGGTTTGGTAGACTGCTGTAGGTCCCAAGCATGACAGCACCCAAAGTTTTGTCCCCAACAGATCGTTCCCCAAAGTTGTTGGGTTCCCCCCCGCCCCAGTTTAATGTCCTTCTACCTTCAGGGCTTCAGAGCATCCTTACAAAGCAATAACCCTTCCTCCGGATTCCCGTGTCCTCACTGAAGCAGCTCTTCTGTGTTGTATTTTCTGTCATAACAGGGTTGATATTTGATAGGCATAGGCATTACTCTAATTTCAGGCTCAGACTAACTCCGAGTTATCCTCCATCCTTCCTGTATTGCAGCAGAGCCATCTCAAGGGATCCCTGGCGTGACCTGCTCTCCTGTTGATCCATCCTTTCCCTCTGTCAGCAGTCCTACTCTTCCCTTCCTAGCACACTGAAGGGATAGCAAGGCGGGGGGGGAGGAAAAAATCCTGGCTCCAAGCTTGCTTCTGGCATTTTGATTTTTTTAGTTTGTAGGAAACAATCTGCTGCCTCTCAAAATATTGTTAATTGCCACCGGGGAGCCTGCCCACTTACCATCTGAAGGAGTACGCTACGTACTCGACTGTCGCTCCCAAGATCCCACCGCCTCCCCAATTCCTTGCAGTTGCGAAACAGCGCGTGGAGAGGTCTTTTCCTCCCCTTTCCTTCGCCCCACACACGTCTGTCCCTCTGTTTCTGCAGTTGGTGAGAACGTAGTCACAAGTTACCCTGCTAAATGCAGATTTTTCTGGCTCTCGTGCCCTGCCGTGATGCTTGAACACATTGCGTTGCTGCTCGCCAGATCTCAACTCACTACAGAGCAAGGACCCTTGGGTTAAAGCTGCTTCTTACTCGTGCATGAGGATGTTGAATTTGCCCTCGGCACCAAAGCAGCCACGTTTGAATTCCGTATTTACACCCATCTCCTCCAGAAACCAGAATCTTGCAAGACAACCGCGGTGCCTGCAGAAGATGAGAGCGAGGAACTGCTGCTGGCAGGACATCATGATCTGCCAGCTGAACTGCAAGACCAGGGGACAGCCCCGCAGCAGGCTGAGCGTGTCGATGACTTCTACATCAAAATTGAATTTAAAAAAGTAAGACTGGGACGGGGCTGGGCTGGTTGGTTTTAAGAGATTTGAATCGTTGGGATGTGGATTTATTTCAGGAGAGACAGTGAGGCTGCTGTTGTAGTAGAGCTCCCTCGGGCCTGGTTAACTCTTAAGCCTACTGTCGTCAAAACGGGCTCGAGAGCGGTGTCAGAGCTAAGGAGGTTGGCAGCTTCTGTTTCACTGCTTTCATCTTACAGCTGTGGCTTCAAAAGGGGTTTTATTCGTGCCTGCCTTGTGATGCCAGTTGGCAGGCGCTCAGCGGAAATCTGAAACTGAGTGTGTGCAATTGCATCGTACGCTCAAGTGAACTCCAAACTGCGGCCGGCAGGACCTGCAGCTGCCTCTGGTCCAGCTGCCCTGCTCGGAGGCAGCAGCGGGGTGGAAAAGCTGGGGGTGGTGCATCAAATCAGCCAGAAAACTCCTAGAAAAGAAAAAAAAAAAAAGCTTTGCATCAGAGGAACTGTGACAATTCCTGTGCCTCAGGCTGGCGAAACACCTCCCCGAGAGGCAGCGTGGATCTGTCTGCTTGTGAGGACTGAGCTAATGTATTTATCGATTCCTCTTTTGTTTTCGGGCAGACTTTCCTTAAACATCTGAGATGTGGAAATGTTTCGCCTTGATTACCTGGAGTAGTTTGCAAATAGTTGGTGGCTCGTGTGCCCATCCTTAGCTGGTGATTAGTCCAGCTTGGAGCAGAAATACTGGCTTGACAAATATTGAGGGGAGGGAAGAAGGGGGGAGGTTTACGCTGGGGTTTTGGCTGTTGAATTCCCCTGATGCTTTTGTTATTTTTATTACTGTAGTTTGTATTATTGTTCTTTTTCTTGCACTTGGCGACGTTCGTCATGGAAGTTTGAGGAGAGGAGGTGTGAATCCCATCTTTCAACCAAACCAGAAACCTTCCCCAAGGTTACCTTTAGAAGGGTTTTGACAAAGCTTTGGTGCTCAGGCTCCTGCACAGAGATGTCACACGTGTCTCTCCTGTCTATAGCCAACCTATACCCTCCCCCCTCAAAAAAAGCATAGCTCGTAGGTGGGTTACCCCATTGAGGACCGTAGGGATCATGCATAGAGGACTTGCTTCCAGCAAGGAGTATTTTGCTGAGGAAAGATGAGAACCTTGACCGTGAAGATGCTGATGCTGCTCTTCTGCGTTATCTTCCAGTTCTGTGATGGATCGGTGAAGGACTCGAGCTTGCCCGAGCGTCCCCAGAGGTTGCACACCAATTACCAACCTCTCCTCATGGCCTGGGCTGGTGTAGACCAAGAGGAAACCAAGAAGCAGGTTTGCCCGCTGAAGTTAATGTTTCATCTCGGTTTCAGGACTGAAAGATATCGAGTGTAGGGAAAAAAAAACAGATAAGAAGCCTCAAAAGCAGCTTTAATGTATGAAGGATCTGCTAGGTTTGTCAGTTTGTCAGTGTTGATGGTGTCTCAGATCTTGGGCAAACCTACCGGCTTCTTTTTTAAGGTCTATCATAACCGTAAGCGTGACTGTTACGTGCTCCTCTCGTAAAATCTGGGATCTGAATAACACCAAAGGGTTGGAGGAGAAGCGGGCTTTGTTCATTTTGCCTGGCAAAACAAAAGTGTCGCTTTCTGTAGTTGCATGGAGAGAGAAAAGCTGCCAAAAATGCTTAAAAAAACCCAACCAAACAAACTAACAACAAACCCCAGTTTATCTTGTTTGGGTATAAGGCTGGGAATATAAAGGTTTCGACCATATCAGCACCTAACAGGCATCGGGACGGTACCTTTCAAGCACAGACTGCAGGCCTGATGCTGAGTGTCTGATTTAATGACGAGGGTTTACCAGCCTGTGTCCAGGACTGTTTGGCTCCTGCTAATCTAAGCGATGTGAAGAGCTGATGTTTCTCTTGGATGCCTAAAGGAAGTGACTTTTTATTTTCCTGCTTCCTTCTAACGTGAAGAGGAACACTTCCCTCTTCTTTTGTCGGCTTTCTTGCAAGTGACAGCATAAAACCCGAAAGGACTTTGAACAAATTACAGTATTTTTTTTTTCTTGTTGTTCCTTATGTGTGTTTTCCGACAAGCTGGTCCAAAATCCGGTTACGGTTTCTAGCAGGCGTGACAGCAGCTGGGGTTTGTCAGGCTGCTCCTTCCCTCAGTGATCCCCACTGCCCCTTTGCTTTTTATCTCCTTGGCTCTGATCCGCCCCGAGATAACTGGTTTTGCAGCACGCTCTCTTCCGCGTGGGTTTTTTTCCATCCAGCTTTCTCTACTTTCAGCCTGGCGACCTCTCCTCCTCTTTTATCTCCAGCTGTGCGGGGCCCCGCTCCGCTAGGCGAGATGGACAAACTCAGCCCAAAACTCTTGGCGGTGATGAAGAAAAATCCATGCCTCAAACTTTCTGGCATCGTAGAGCTCAAACTGGCTGTGTACTGACTGCAGGTTGGGAGGGCTTTTGGTGTGAGCTTTAGCCAGGAGGTTTTCCGATCTTTGCCGCATCAGCGGGGTTAAGCCAAAGCCAGATGTTAAACCTCTGTGTGTGCTCAGTATCCGTACGGGAGTTGGTCCCTGCAAGGCTCTGGGATTTGTCTCAGTAATATCTGTGGTTGTTCTGCACCGAGTGGGTCCAGCTTGGTGTGGGATGTTCTTTGGTTTTTTTTGAGATATAAGAGGCTTCCAGTGAGCTGTGCAGAGGACCACCGGTCCTCAGGTGGGCTGAAATTCTTGGGCTGTAGCTTGTAGCGCTCTGGTGAAATGGGTTGAAGTGGGAATCGGCTCATTTAACCTCAGGAAAGTGAGAGTTTAGGAATTTCTCAGGTGGCAAAGATTCCACTCATAGGAAGGTTCAGTTGAGGGATACTTGTACAAAGCTCTCTGATGGTCCGAGACGTCTGTGTCCTTCTGTCCTAGCTCAGCCCCGTCTCTCCAGCTTCTCAGTCCTGGGGCACGTGCTCTAGGAGATATTTGAGAATCTTCCAGGGAAGGTGCGAAGTTTCTATTCGGATAAACGTGCGTTTCAGAAATCAAACTGATCCCAGCCTACCTCCAGACATCCTTCTCAAAAGTGCCTCTTCTTTTCCCCCAGCGTCAGAATGAGTACCTGAGATACAGGCGCCTCTTCATGAATATCGAGCGAGAGCACGTGAAAGAACAGCAGAGGCAGAAGAGAATCGCCGAGTGAGTACCTGTGGATCAGTGCCAGCTTCTTGATATCGCTTCCTTCATCGCAGGCAGGGACCTTCTTAAGGCTGGAAAGGTCTTGTGCGCTTGCCTGGTGCGAACCAGGTATTTTGGAAAGCGTTTCTGCAGCCCAAATGCAGAGGCTTTGAGAAGACTGGCCGGCTGGATATGGAAAAAAATAATCCCACCCACGTGATGGGGTAGTGTTCTGCCTCTTTGGCCGCAAGCTGCCCCTGATAGATTTTAAAAAAGCCACTTTATCAACTTAAAATCGGGGAGTACGTCCAAAGAAGCACCGCGATACGAATGCCGGTTGTAAAGCCTGCCTTATCTCCTGGGTTTATTTTAGGGCTCGATCTGTTAATCCTGGGGTGGGATTCATTCGTTCAACCCACCAAGAGAGACCCTCGGGCCTTAGTGTGTCCTTCAGAGGTCCTCGGCACTTCTCTATCTACTTTTGGAGTCCTCGTGCAGCTTGGATAGGAGTTGGGAGCTGAAATGTCAGGCTGGGAGGGTTGTAGCTCACCAAACCCTAACTCTTGAACTGGTCTCAAGACCCTGCACTACAGCCTGTGTTTAGAAACTTCGAGATGAGGTCGCGTTGTTGTTGTCAAACGGATCTTATCTCTGGGATTTTTAATATCAGACCTTTCACCCTCATAGCTATAAACGTATATAGTGTAATAAAAAGATTTCTTAGCACTTGTTCCAGAGTTGAGAACTCAGTATCTGTGTAAAAGTATCAGTACTTGTTTCGGTGGTTTAGTCATCTTCTCCCTTTTAAGGGGTTTATGAAGGAGGAGCTCTGTAAATTCACACCAGAATAGGAAAGATACTCTAAATTATTTTTTGTTTTTCCCTCCCCCCTCTGGCTCGCTGTAAAGTAAAACGATGTAGCTCTGACCGTCTCTGCCTCTAACGCCAAGAGGCCTTTGTGGGAGCAGGACAGGCACCCGAGGGCAGGATTTTCAGGATTACTTTTCAGAGAAAAATTGCCAGTCTAAAGAAATACTCCCCCAACCACGTTCCTGGCGCTTAAATCTGCACTCGGGAGCTTCAGAGACCTTTTCCTGCCCTGCGAGTGCTGGCGAGACACCAGAGACTTCCTCGTTGCTGTGATATTGGTTTTTTTTTTTTTTTTTTTTTTTCCCCCCATTGCAGGGGAGCTGCAAGCTGCTCGGAACATATGCAGAAAAGAACTGGTTTTGTAATCACTTAGTGTAAAGCCTGAAGTTGGCCTTGGCCTTAGTTTCTATAGCAGAAGATTTATGGTGCTGTAGTTCAGGCTCTATTACCACTTCATTTAAAGAACATTTTTGGAATTTATAACTTGACTTAGAGAAGTTTGGCTCCAGCACTTTCCTTCTGGATGTAAAGATTTGACCCCCCAAATGGAGTAACATCCGAAATGTCTCGTTTGATTACGCTTTCCTCCCCCTGGCTTCTACCCAGCCTTGATTTTTTTTTTTTTCTTTTTTCTTTTAATGCCTTTTGGCAGTGCTCAGCCTGTAACATGTTATTGCATTTGGTACTCGTCAGCGGGAATAAAATGGCAGATGCTTCAGTTTAAAGTCTTTGTGCTTCGTAATTGCCGCTTGTCAAGGGGAACGTGTTTTGTGTTTGGCGTGACTTACGCAACCCAGATTCCACTGAAAGGGCTGGAATGCCGTGTAGGTGCAAGGGAGATCGAGGAAATAGAAGAAGACTTGGTTAAAAATGCCTTTTAAAACCTATTTGGGAGTAGATGTGGGATCCTTGGAGCTTTTCTGCTGTACCCAGTAGTCTTCTACAGCCCTGTTATGCTTTCTCGTCCTGGAAGCTGCTAGGACGGCTTAGGGTAGGATCCAAGCTGCCCCAAAATTGGAAGTGGGGAAACTGAGCTGTTGGTCCTTTCTGGTGGATCTTAAAAAGCCCAGGCACTGCTCTTGGGTTTGGAAGACCAGAAGAGTAGCTTTTTTGGGGAACCGTGTTTCCTACCAGGAGCATGTGTGAATGGGGTGTGGGAGGGAGCTGGAAGGAGAAGTCGACGATGGTGAGAAAACTAGCGGGCAGGAGGAGGTCAGGGTCAGGAGAGCGTTGGTAAGGCTGGTATTTCCATTTGGGGGGGGGAGGAAAGGGGGCTCAGAAAACGTTTTAAACCATTTTATATTTAAAGCTGTTAGAAAGCGAGCGCTGCAGTTAGCATGGCGTTACTTTCACCTGCCGTGGGTAGTTTGGGCGAAGGCAGCAGTAGCATCTAAATCCCCTTGCCCTGATTTTCCAAGCAGGGGCTGACGGGGAAGGGAGTTTGGGATGGGGAAACTCTTTCTCTAAGCGTGTGTGTGTGTTCCTGCAGAATTAAGAGCAAGAAGGAGAACCAGCGACGGGCGGAAGAGCAGAGGATGCAGGAGATGGCTGAGCAGCAAAAACCCTCCCTGGGAGAGGGAGCCTGTGAAACCCTGGCCCAGCTTAAACTGGAGGAGGGGAGAGCAAAGAAGATTAAGGAAAAACAGCAGCGAAATAAGGAGTATGTGAGGTACGGCCAGATCCCTCCTCCTTGCACAGAGCTGGGTTTTACTGCAAAGGTGAAAATATTTTATCCCTCGCAGGTACATTGAAGCTCTAAGAGCCCAGATGAGGGAGAAGATAAAACTCTATAATATTGACTTGCCACCGCTGTGCTCCTGCGGGTCCGATTTCTGGGATTCCCACCCGGATACCTGCGCCAACAACTGCGTCTTTTACAAAAACCACAAAGGTAGGAGCTCCCGCTTCTGGAGAGGAGGTGCCTAGACCTGGATCCCTGATGATACAGGGAGAAATCCAACCTGGCTAGATGTTTCCATGATCCTAGGCCGCTGTGTAGAGATGTTCCTACAAATATACTCCGGAGAGGGCAAGTCAGGTGCTCTGCTCCCTATTTCTAACCCAACCTCTTCCTCTGTCCCTTCAGGGAGCTTAGCGGCATCCTCAGCAAAGCACCAACCTCTATAATGCGTTAAATAACGCTGCTGTGATACGTACGTGTGTTGGTAGGGGGAGAATCATAAGGAAAATAGTGCAAACCAGGCTTGTTAGGGGCACGGAAAACCTCTTTGCCTTAAATGCTGAAGCTTCTGCTGGGAGGATGCACGAAAGTGGTGGAAATCATCTTCATTAGGTGACGGAGTGCTCTGATCTTGAGTACAGCTTGGAAAAATACCCGGCTGAGCAACTAGGAGTTGTCTTCTAGGGGAACAAAACAAAAAAGGGAAATTGGGGCTTTAAGAAAAAAAAAAATTTTGGCTTTCCTTGCTTTGGCTTGCGTACCACTTTGTACGTGGGAGCATGCAGAGGGTGCAAACAAGCGCGTGGAAAACTACAGGTGTGTCGATTTATCTTAAAAACCAGTTCTTCTCTCTCTGCTTTACGGTAAAAGGCTGAAGCTGAGCCCAGTTTTGGGCCGTAAGTGAAACTCTTGTCACTTATCGCTGTTTCTGTGTCCCCTTCCCGCTCAGCCTACAGCCGCGCTCTGCAGTCCGTCATCTTGTCCTGCCACGCTGTGGACGGGAACCCCTCGGCCGGGCCGCAGCTCCGAAACTTGGCCGCTCTCTGTGCTCACTCGGGGAAGCATCTGCGACGAGGGCGGCCACGCATCCCCCCTCCCGCTTCCCCGTATTTCGGCGACTGTTGTAAGTAAAGAGCGGGGCCGTGCCCGCTCCTGCACTCCTTAAGCTCCGGTTTAAGCTGCACCTCTCCCATTTTGCTCCGTGTGCGGGGTCGGCCGGATTGGGAGCGCTGAGCAACGATAGGTGCCAAGGAGCCGATTGCTTTGAGGAGGCTGGTTTAGAGGCAGGCACTTGAATTTTGGCGTTCAGCTGTGGAATAAACTGGTTTCAAGGGTTGTTGGTCTCAGCTGGAGTGTGAAATGAGGAGAAGCGAGGCGCCGGGGGTCAATATCTCTTAGGGTTAGGGTTTCTAACTTCTTCCTTCCCGCTCCCTTCTCTCCGTTTCCCTCTGGGTCCCTCCAGCCCCTGCCTCTCGGGTGTTTATTGCCCCTTCGCTTTCGTCTGCGTGAAGACCTCTCCTCTAGTAACGTCCACTACGGCTTACTACCTGACGCACCCTCCTCCAGCCTCCATTTTGCTCTGGAAAGGGAAAACAAACCAAAAAACCCACAATATCTGTATTTAATCTCCAGGTGAGTGAGAGTCTTCACTGTGCTGCTGCAGCGAGATGATTTTTACCAAAAAATAAAGTGTTCCTGGACAGAGGTTGCACCATAACCCAGCATTAATATTTACTCCTTGCTTGCCGTCCTCCTGCCGCCTCTCCAATATTAACCACGGCAGGAAGGATGGGCGGCCGAGCGTGCCGGATGATTTCTTTTCCCCGTTACCATCCCCGCTGGGTGTGAAGGAAACCCACGACCCCGGTCCAGAGGTAGCATGGAGAGGTTGAGCCTCCATTCCCCGCTGGAAAATCATTCACCGACTTATTCGTGGCGGCTGATGCTATTTATTAACTGCTGTTTGCGTCAAGGGAAGACACCACGGACCTAATAAGGGGTGGTGAGGTGGATTTGTAAAGGGCAGGATGCGGCCCGGGAGGTTTTTACATGCGCTGTGCCCAGGGAAGCGAAGTTTTTTGCAGTTGTTTTTTTTTTAAAACTGATTTCAGGGCAGGGCTTTGTGGTGGGGCAGCTGAGGCCAAGCGTTTCCATAGCAGGTTCCTCAAAGCCCTTGCTCGTGTCCCGACACCCCTGTTTCCCCTTCTCCAAAAACTTGGGGCTTAATTCAAAGGGATAATGGTTAAATAAAGCCATCGCTGCTCCTTGCCCTCCTTCGGGTGTAAATGGGATCCTTTGCTAGCAGGGGCAGATTTCTCCTGGTGTGAAACCTGTGGGAGGGAGAGGAGAGCGGGACTCCTAAAATCCCCAAAACCTGGCCGAGGTCGCTGAACCCAAATCAGGGCACTGAAGCCCTTTGGGGGGCGTGATGGTAAAGGGAGCTGAAAAATTAAATCCAGCATTTTTTTTCCACTGGAAAAAAACCAGTGTCTGGGGACAAACCCCGACCCCCACGGGGGGGACCACGGGGGTAGGTGAATCCCCCGCCGTGGACCTTCTCCCCACTGCCCAATTTTGCTTTTCCCTTCTTCTAGCCGGCTCCTAAAGTTGATTTTTTTTGTTTTTTTTTTTTTTTGATTTTAACTGGGGCCGGAGGAACCGCTGGGGTTTCACAGCTCCGGGCTGGAGGAGAAGGCGGGCGGGGGGTTCCGTGGGGCTGCACCCGGCGAAGGAGACGGGACCGGG